TCATGATCAGAACCCAGGAACACCACACTGTTGCTTACTGGGGACTCTTTCTTTGCACCTCCTGGCTGAGAATGCTCAGAGTGCCAGTGGCAGTGATGATCCCAGCCTGGTATGGGCAGGGGCTGGCACTGCTTTCTCTTACTCGGAGCAGCACCAGGGCTGTCCACTGCCCTGGCAGTGCTATGACTGCACCGGGACTATGACACCATTGGATCAGCAGTTTTTGAAGGAGCTGAGATGTCCGAGGCTGTCAGTGCATTCCCTGAGTACCCTGCACATCAGCTCCAGAGGTTTGACAGCAGAGCTTCTCCAGCTTTACAGAAGTGCAAAGGAGAGTCCAATCAAACTTACTATGTTCAAGGCCAAGAGGCTGGGTTAGATTTACCCAACCAGGGCAGGTGAAAGCTGAGGTAGATTAGAAAAAAAAAATCTGTTGGCTCACAAATGACCCCCAGTCTGTACTGCAGGGGCAGGGCAGATGGGGCCAGACGTTCCCAGCACCTCCCTGAAGGAGCAGGCTGCCCCAGGTGATACAGAGAGTGACTTGTGCCTGGAAATCTATCTACAAATGGCAGGAGACACTGCTGGGATCAAGGATAAATGAAACATCTTGTTTTCCTCAACAAGAAATAACTTTTGGGGCAATCCAGGGTACCTTATACCTTCCCTGAGCAGGTCTGACACACTGAATCCCCCCCAAATGCCAGTTGCATCCATTTCTCTCCCTTTGATTCCAAGTGTCGTTGACTGTGGTCTCCCTAATTTTCTGTGTGTTAAGTACTGTTTTATTTTTTTCTAGACTGTGCAATTTCCAATAAAACTAGAGTTAGCATAAACCAGACCTATGTTTGTTTTTCAAAGCAAATCTAATTACTCTTCTTACTGGAATTGCCCTTTGTTCAAGCGATTGGATTGGGATACAGAAAGCAAGTTGCAGGCAGATGCTAATCATTTTGCATGTAAATTACTAACATTTCTTTTACAAATATTTCATGCAGGTTTTTAGTTTAACAATTATAAAAAGATCTGCTTTTTCGAACTGCTTTCAGTAATATCTATAGTCATTTGACAAAATACCTCAGGCTGTAAATCTCCAAACGGTAAACAAATAAACGTATTTATTTACTTTGTATGCAAAAATGATTCAGTCAAAGACACATATTTCTTGAAGACAAAACCAGACAATTTTTTTTTTTTTTTTCTCAAAATCATAAGCATACTCTTTAATGAGGAGAACTGGTGGGTTTTCTGAGTGAGCTGAGTTCATGACAGTGCTGACAGGGGACCAAGAGCTCTATGGATTTTGTGCAGAAAATAGAGTCACGATTTGTTTCTTTGTTTAAAGGCTGAAAAAAAAAAAAAAGTAATTAAAGGATGAAGCCATCTGTCCTCTCACTGTCTTGTACCTGGTCGTGCTATTTCTATCAAGGAGAGAGTAGGGAAAATAATTGAGTGGGGTTCGTTTCAAGCCTGTTTCAAAAAGTCCCTGCACCAAGTAAGAGAGTGAAGTGGATGCTTCTGACCCCAGAGCTTACCTTACCATTACCTCTGGAGGAGGACATCCTTACATCCCATCAGAAGCATGTGGTGGGGAAAGCCTGAGGATCCCTTTGCTGGTTTTACCCACTCTGTGTCTGTGGGATGAAGAAGAAGTATTGGACTCCAGATCTGCCCATCTAGCACATTTCATCAACACTGAATTCATCTTAAAAACCAAAGCAAAACAAAAAAAAAGCTTGCATGCCCCAGAGGACTGGCCAATAGATCAGTGATTTTCCAAAAATACCTTCAGTTATCTCAGATTTCAGTCTGTGCAGCAGTGGCTGCTATGAGTTGCTTTATTAGTGTGAAGCCTGTTATGCTCACCTGCACTTTCCTCTTTCTTTCCAGCTCTCCTCAGCCCAAGACAACTGAAACAGCAGTTCCCATGTGACTCAACATAATTGCGACAATTAGTTTTGACACTAAATCTTGTAGAGAGGTTCTGCCATTAATATCCCAATAGCGTTTTGTTATTGGTAGCCTCAAAGCCATCATCAGCAAAAGGCACGTAGAGAAACTAAGTGGCACGATGTAGCTGAAGGCTTGGTATTGGCCACCAAGAAGATACTAATGAAGAAAAACATACAGATTTGCATGTTAAATAGAATCAGAAGACACTCCACATCTCCCCAGGCAGTGCTTGGGAGGGTGGCCTGTGTCCTGTTCGTCTGTCCTGTCTCCTTTCTGGTCAACTGTTTTTTCCTTCTCCATCCTCTTGCTCATTGTGTCACATCTGCACATGGTAGTGCCCACACCAAAGATTTCTGGGGCTCAAACCTGTGAATACCCTGCAGCATGTCAGTTCGGTGGTGGGATGAATTGCATCCCAGTGTGCGTTTATCCCTACATGGCACAGTGGGACACTAGCTGTTGCTGAGGAGTTGATACACATGAGAAGAAGGATAATAATAATGAATAAAAATGGCTAGAACTATTTAGCTAGAACTAAGCTGCCAAATCTGTGGGTTTTCTAAACTGACGAGTGGACAGAGCTGGGATGTTTCTCAGTTGTGTTGCCATGGTTAGTGTCCTGAAGTGCTATTTCAACTGAATAGTGGGGGATGAGGAATCAACCAGCCAACTCACAAAAACAATGGGACAACTTTGTTTGCTTGTGGGGGAGCTTAAATGTTTAGAAGAAATCACTATTTTTTCTTTATTTTTCTTATATCTTCACTAGGTTGATGTCTTTAAATACATTTGCTTTAAAATAATATAATAATTTTGCTGCTTTATTGGTATAAGTGGATATACAATACAGCATCTGCTTTTATGAGCTACTGCTGCATGTCCTAAAATACTATACTGTGGTAGTTTTAAAATAGATATTTATCTGAAAACTTTATTTACAATAACATTTAAATAAAATCTAGAATTCTTTTTCTTTCCGAGACAATGTTTTGAAAATGCATTAGCATTTATATTTCTTCTTAATTAAAAAAAAATTGGGCTTTGTCCCATGCTGAAATTAAAACAGACATTGAAAATACAGGTATCTCATGCACAATAAATTCCATGTTTTGGTCAAGTTGGTAGCTATCCTTCACGGCCTACCAAACCAAGGTTTTTAATGATGTGATAATGAAGGCATGGGGCAGGGGATTAAGTGGTCCAGTTTAGTTTTAGAGATCCTCTCCATTGCAGGACTTGCTCCCTGGCTGAGTCTGATGCCAAAGAGAGCCCCCAAGCCAGCCAGTTGCAGGCATCCACTGCAAAGTGCCCGGCTCCTGGGTGAGCTGCATCTTCCAAGGCAAGACAAAGCCTGGAGATAAAGAGCAGATTTAAGCAGTGCTTAAACACTGATCTTTTGGGAAGCTACTTCAAACACTGTTTTATAGTGCTCTAAGTCATCTACATCTGTCTTAACTTGTTTCACTCTCTTTTTAAAATATTTATTTCTCCAGCAAGGAAGACTCCCTCAGATAGGGCAAAGTGACCTGTTGCATTGACAGTGTTTTTATCTGTGTGGTGCTAATGATTGATGCAGACTTCACATGTGCAGCACAGCTCCGCGCTTCCTGCTGCTCTTTATCTACTGTGGCTTCAAGCCTGCCTGGCTCCATAGGTCTGTTGGACGCTGGATTTATTGTCAGACAAGCAACACTTTATATAACCCCCAAAGCGCTTGGGAACAGGTACCCGAGTGTTGCTGAATGTTCAAAATGTTCACTTTTAAGTGAGGTCTGCAGTAGATACATGGCATTACTCCAGACGCTTTGTTCAGATGTTGGTCATGGGTTTTCCATTAGCAAGGTTGGAGAAGCTCCCAAAGACTGCTGCATGGCAAGGGTTTGGGAGAGAGCATTGCTCACCTGTAGCATCACCTGCCTTCACTTATGGGGCTTTGAGTTACCTTTTCTGGGTCCTACAAGAAGGGATTTTGTTGTTAAAACAGTTTTTCTTCAGAAAATGCATATTCATTGTGGCTTGAGCTTTTTTTTTTTCCAAGACTGTCATAGTTTTAAGGAACCCAGTGGGAGAATTTGTTTGGCCAGGATGAATTTTCTGCTCAAAATCAAAGTGTGGGAAAAAAAAGCAACCCACCAACAACCACATCTGACTCAGTGAAGATTTGGGAGCCCACTGCTACAGAGGCCTCTGGCCAGCCAGCTCTTTTAAAAGAGGTTTAATATTTCCCTGTTGTTAAAATCTTTAAAGATTACTGGGTCATGACAAGTTTTGGTTCATTGCTGAGTGTATTTTCCTCCTTGACACTTTATGCAAAGCCAGCACAAGCGGCAAAGGCACAGCCAGCACAGGCTCAGGGGATGTCTCAGACAGACCTATGTGTCCTCTGTTCCTGGGTGGGTGTGGGACCAGTTCTCAGTATCTGAAGAAATACTTCCATCAGAAATCTTTAAAATTACTTCTTTCTCTTTATCAAAAGATTTCCAGGCTTTGTGCCAGCATTTCCTCCTGTCGCTTTTGAAAATAAGTAAATTGTTTACTTGCTTTTGTACTCTCATTTCATTGAATCCACTTAAATGCCCCTGATAAACTACCTTTTACCTATAAGAATTTGAAGAAGCCTCAATACTTTAGACAATGGCCATTACACATTTCTTGCCCATGACAGGGAAGGTAAGAGGAAAGCCAGGAGAAGGCATTGGGAGCAGCAGATGAGCAGCAAGGCTGTCTCTGCTTCTCAGCTCTCTTTTATTAATTTTGCTTAGTACTTAAGTCTAAATCCTGGCAAATTCCTAACTTTTCTTGCACGTTTTTAATGTTTGTTCACTGTAGGCTGTTTTGCAAGCCACAGCTCTGCCAGAGAAGGAAAGCCTTTTGTTTTTCTAGATGTGTGTTGTTGCTGGGGCTGGTATTGCTGATGCCTGTTGTTTTCTGTTGTTGAACTAACAGCAATGCATGACCATCATGTACCATTCAGCGATGCTTAATTTAGGAGATCAGTGATTAATTCCTTCCATTGCTTTTTCTTCTCTCTCTCTCTCTCACTGCAGGATGTTTTCACACCAGAGTGCAAATTTAAGGAATCCGTCTTTGAAAACTACTACGTTATTTATTCTTCCACGCTGTACCGGCAGCAAGAATCTGGACGAGCGTGGTTCCTGGGACTCAATAAAGAAGGTCAAATTATGAAGGGAAACCGAGTGAAAAAAACCAAACCCTCATCACATTTTGTACCCAAACCCATTGAAGGTATGGAATCTGCCCACTCACTCCATCAGTGGGGTATGGGGAGGTGGAGTTTGCAATTTCAGATCTGGGACTTCCTGGATGGGGGTGTTGGACTGCAAGACCAGAAAGCAATGACAATATTTGTAATATTTCAGAAAGGTGCTGGGCTGCACTGTTAGCATTTCATCTGCTTTCCTTCCCATATAATAAACTTTGCACTTTGTCCCAAAGGTGTTTCTCAGCTTTGGGGTGCTAAAGGATGAATTTAAAAGCCCAGTAACATGAGAAGTTGCTGTGAAAGGAAAGCAGCCCTCAAGTGGCCAGCAGTTCAAAAGGAATCTGATCTAGCAGTGACCGTAATGTTGGGTTCTCTGTGAGAATTTTCTGAACATCATTCGGTGGGTTTCCAGTCCCATGTAGAATCAGTAGAGATAGGATTTATCTCACCTGGTTTTAGATTTTGACACTCTGTTTAAAGTTTTATGGGCTGGCCCCTGATAAATGGAGAGATGTAGTATGATCAGCCTAGTACTTAACAGGTACTAACTTGATTCTGGAAACAAGATCTCTTTTTTTCTGTTGCTTGGAAAAAGCACTACTTTTCAATCCCCGAACTAGGTACGCCTTTCTGTCCCTGTCTCAGACCTGCCAATGACCACCTTGGGGACACAGCAGGCTGGGACTGGCCTTGAGTGCACAGCTCTGTGCTCCCTCTTGCTAGCCCCATGTTGGCTGTGGTGTCAGGACTAGACAGGGGGAGAGAAGGAATGAATTCATGCTTTCCTGAGAGGTACCACTCACAGGTGGTGGAGGCCACATCTAAGTCCATGCACTAGTAGCTGTTTTAACAGCTTCCCAGCTAAGGCGCAGGGGCATACGAGTGTGCATGTGTGAGTGAAAGGCCAGTTCAGGAAGGCAGGATGAAATCATCTGTTGGAGCACTGAAGCAAAGCATGATGAGAGAAATTCAACTCAGCATTCCCAGAGTATCTGTGGTCTTTGCACGGGAGATGGAGATATTGAAAGAGCAGAGAATGGCCTGGAGCCTCTTGTCCTGTGCTTGTTTTCAACAGCTTTTTTGCAGCCAGGAGTCTTTTCTTGTTTATCTGAGGCATTAGTGGGATTGGTGCCCTAAACCCTCATTGAGTTTTGCTAAGGAACAGGGCCTGCTTCAGGCATCGGGTCAGTCACCAGCTTCTCTTCTGTCTCCTCCTCTCCTGCCTTCGCTGGGAGGAGAGTCTTTTGGAAGCGCTAGCTTTCACAACTGGGTTTCCAGCACCTTCTAGTATTTCTTTGCTGCCTGACTGGGTGTTGGCACTGATCAGTGCATTCTTTTGAATCCAGGCTTCTTCTTTGATGTAGTGTGCATGGCATCTGCTGAATGGCTCAATAGTTGTCTTCTGCATGCATTAAACTAGGCCATTCCTGTGTCTGTCCTTGTGGAAAGCCTTGCCTTAATAGAGTGCCTGACCCACAGCGGAGTTCTCATTGCAGCAAATGCTGCTCTGGCTTTCATTTTGAACAACCCAGCCGAGCCCGAGAGCTTCCCTTTCCTGCAGTTGCATCCTCCTACGCTTACTTCAGTCACAGCTGTCACGTAACCTCCCGATCGAGTGAGCGCTTTGGAAGTTGGCAGCCAAATTAAGGGCTCCTCCACCCCTTCCCTCCTCCACATGCTTTGCAGTCAGCCTCTGTGAGCGTTGCTGCATCAAAGAGCTGGCAGTCTCCCAAGGCAAGGCACGTGTCAGCTTCCCAAAGCATTCAGCTGTCTGGGACTGTGACTCCAGACAGAGGACTCTGTTCCCAAGCCTAAGATTCATTGTAGGTAGCTGAGGCTTGTGGGGAGGGTTGGAGTAAAACACGCTGAGCTCCACTTGACTTCTCTGTGTTGCATCCATCAAAGTCTCCATGAGCAGAGTTTGCAAGCAGAGATGTTACAGAAAAGGGGCAATTCCTACCCTGTTTTAACAGCTTCTTTCTCTTTGTCATGACTCTACCAAAGCATTCAAAGCACTCCACTGCTGTATTTGCATGTCCCTTCTGCTAAATGCTGTGGCATGCCCCAGCATGTTGGGCTTTGCTACTTATTCAGGACAGTACTTTGCAGCTTCCATCTGCAGTAACACACCCAGGTTTCCTTTTGCTGTGGTACCACCAGAATTAGCCTTGCCACATGATGACTGACACAATAATGTATGCAAGGAGGAATCTGGTCCCCTGGGAAGAAGAGGTGTTACATACATTGCTAGGAATCACTTCACCCACCACTTCAGTGGCAATTATCTCTTGAGATGAAACTTCCCAGTTGTTTTCCATGTGCAGGAAAATTATGCAGCAGCTTAGTGAAGAGAGCGTTCACAGGGAAAGGGAACACAAGAAAGCCCAGATTCTTCCCGGACCTCATTTGACTCCTGTTGCTTCATACTGCTTTCTGAATTCGGAAGTTGAAAATGGGCAGTAAACTAATAAATAAATATGAAATATCATCCCAGATAATTTCTAAGGACTACATATGTGTACATGTGCATATCTGTACGGTGGTATCTGTGTCTGTATGTGTGTTAGCTATGGCTTTTAGCAGCTACAGCTTTATGCTCTGCTAATCCCACAGAGTGTTTGACTCCTGTGGATTGTCAGGATGCTGGAGGTCTTCCGTGTGGAAGTCACTAGATACTGACTGAAAAAGTTTCGGGGTTTGGTTGGTAGGAGGATTTTTTTGATTTAGAGTAGGTAGGATTTGTTTGTTTTTGGAAATAGCATTAAGCTTAATCAATATGAAAGCACAAAAAACTTACTAAGTAATAACAGGGGAAATGTTAAGTTCCTCTCCCATCTGTGCGCAGGCAAAGCCAAGGCAAACAGCCTGGCAGGCAGCAGTTAATGTACTGTGTGGTGCCAGTTTTGGTTAAAAACACACATACGCAACACATTTCTTTTGATATTTTTATTTGTGATGACTGATTGTTCAAGTTAAATGAGCCCTTAAAGTGCAGACATAGAGATTGAACCAGACTGCACAAGAAATTACCTTGAGTATAATTGTACTTGGACACCAAGCAATCTTTTAAAGCAATTTCAGTCTCTTTAAGTGTCTGTAGTGATTAGTACTGGATGAACACTACCATCCACAGTGCCCCTTGTTCTTTTAAATATCCAAACCCATCTGAAACAATGGGAGACTTTTCCCGTCACTTAAGTGAGAATTTTATCAAATGCCTGTTGTGAATGTGCTGTTATTTATATTTCCTTCTCTGTGAAGACATCATTTCCAGATTTCTCTCCCAAAAGAGATACATTTCAGCTCTCACCTGGCCCAAGCCAGAATGCATTTGGGGTGGCAAATCTGACCGCAGAAAGTTGAAGACAACTCTTCCTCCATCTGAGGCAGCAGAGCTGTCCCTAACTCCAAACTCATGCTGTTTCAGCCCTCATAATGTGAACACATCTCAGATATGAAGGTGACCTGTTAATGACTAGCCTGATCCATTTGTTACCACTGTCTGTGTGTGAATATCCATGTGCAAGGAACAGCTGCCAGATCTTTCCCAGTTTTCCCAGGGATACAGCATCCCAGTTTTCTTAAAGCAGAGTCCTCAAATGGGATGTTGCAAAGATATACAAGACACTTTGAGTAGGAAGATGTGGTAGGCCTAGTGGAAATGCTTCAAAGGTATCACCCTAATTCACAAAACATCCTAACAGGGATTCTTTAAAAAAAAAAAAACAACCCAACAACAAAACCCCAAACTCTTCATCAGTCTTCATTAGCACAGCTCCTCTTTTGGTTCTGACTTTAAAGTGGGAAGGCTTTGGTATGTTTTATATCCCACACTAACTCACTTGTTCAGCTATCAAACTCTAATCATTTCATTAGATGGCAAATGCAATGCATTTTAACCATGCTTTTGCTTGGATTTTTGTCATCCTGTACTGTGTTTCTTACCTGAACAAACTGTGATTCCATCTGGCAGCATCCTGCACGTTTAGCCGCCAGGTAGACATGAGCTCAAATGCCTCTGAAATGCATCAGCTGGGACTGGGTTTAGAACACAGTAATTAGAGGCAGAAAACGAAGGTGCATAATCACTTACTCCCTCCTGCCCCTAGCTGCTGCTCAGACAATTAATTCTCTTCACTGAAGCATTAGCTAATGCAGCCACTACTGCAGATACCAACACCCGGAGCTGTGGCATCTGTCAAGGGAAATAGCCCGTCT